CTCTTGGCAGGTCTGTCAAGGGTCTCCATGTGTAAGATCAAACGATCAACTATAAAGACACGTTCTAGATGAAAAGGTTGTCTAGGAGTGCTAATGGCTCTTGATTTAAACCAAACTGTTGTCTAAATTGCTGTATTTCATTTATGTTTATTTTTATGTTTTTTTTTTTTTTTTGAGACAGGGTCTTACTCTGCTACACAGACTGGAGTGCAGTGATGAAATCATAGCTCACTGCAGCCTCGACCTCTCAGGCTCAAGTGATCCTCCCACCTCAGCTTCCCAAGAGGCTGAGAGCACAGGTATGTACCATTATCACCACACCTGGCTAATTTTTAAATTTTCTGTAGAGATGGAGTCTCACTATGTTGCCCAGGTTGGTCTTGAGCATCTGGGCTCAAGTGATTCACACATCTCAGCCTCCCAAAGTGCTGGGATTACAGGCATGAGCTATCATGCCTGGCCTTTGTTTAGATTTTAATCCAGAAGGGTAAATCATTATTTAAATAGTGGGGTGCAGCTGTCCACAAAAGCAAGAGGAGCTATTAATTCATTGAGAAGCTTCTGCCCCCTATGAGTCACTAGTCTGTATTTATTTATTTATTTATTCTTGAGACAGAGTCTTGCTCTGTCTCCAGGCTGGAGTGCAGTGGTGTGGTCTTGGCTCATTGTAACCTCTGCCTCCCGGGTTCCAGTGATTCTCCCACCTCAGCCTCTGAGTAGCTGTGATTACAGGCATAAACCACCACACCCAGCTAATTTTTTGCATTTTTTAGTAGAGATGGGGTTTCACCATGTTGGCCAGGCTGGTCTCAAACTCCTGGCCTCAAGTTAGACCTGCCTGCCTTGGTCTCCCAAAGTGCTGGGATTACAGGTGTAAGCCACCAAGCCTGGCTGATGCACTAGTCTTACCGTTCCACCGGCCCCTCGCTGTCAGCCATCCTACGTAAGTCCAGGAGCACACACCCATCTCCCGCTGAGGCTACAAGAAAGGGTTCAGGCTCCTACTGACTGGGGACCTTCAACTGGGCTCTCCAGGTGCTGGGCTGGGCTGAGGAGCAAATCCACATGCTGGCATAGGAATGGGAATATGGAGGCCATTTGTGACATCTCCATTATGCAAATAATGTGCTGATCTCAGGTGTTTTGGCTTAGTTTAGGTTGTAAAAGTGGAAGTGTTGGGTCAAAAGCTATCAGAGATCTAAAACTGACCATGTTACTGCCACCCCCTAAAACTCTTCAGTGGCTCCTCTAGAGCTTTTGGGGTAAACTTCAGGCTGCTTGGTCTGTCCCATGGGGTTCTTCACTGTTGGCCTCTGCTGGTCTTTCCTGACATTGCCCGTGGCTCTCTGCCCCTGACACATGGGATTTCTTTGTCCTCCTTTGCTGAACTGCTGTCAGCTTGCCCACTTGGTAAAGGTCTGTTGGTCTGTAGTGGGGGGTAGCTTATCCCTCAGATCCTTTCATTTCCACTTAAACGTCCCACCTGTCTGGTCCTACCTGAAGGCCCAGGATGGGATACTGAAGAAGATGGCGTCAGGCACCCCACCCAGCCACAGGCAAGGGCCCCGCTGTGGCTGGGGGTCCTCTCATCATGCCTTTCAAAGTTTCCTGATTGGATCCATCTCCTGGCCTAGGGCCCCAGGACCCCAACCTGAGTCCTGGAGAGTGAAAATGGAGCCCTTTTCACAAAGACGCTGTGTAGTGGGCTGTGAGCCAAGCAGCCTGGATGCGTGGGGATGGAGGGTGGCATGATAGGGAGTGAGGCCTGCTTTCCTCTACTGCTGGGTACAAGGCATGGCTTCATCAGTAGGGCCCATGGTGGGGGATGGGCAGGGGCAGGTGGGGAGCTGGGCCGTGGCAGATTTTGTCTTGAGCATGAATGAGACAGTGCAGGGTCCTCCTGAAACACCAGGGGACACAAGAGGGCTCAGGGACCTGCAAAAGAGGAGGGGGCAGGAGCAGAGGAAAGATACATGTCGTCATGAGTGTGACAATGGGAAGCCCAGGTGGCCAGCAGAAGCCCCTCTGCTCCTCGGCATGGTTAGAAGCAGAGTTGTGGAGGTGATTGACCCTGCAAGCCTGGCCTCCCCATGCTGTTGTCCATGAGCAGTTGCTTAGCCTTTCTGAGCCTCTGTTTCCCCTCTTGTCAAGGGGGATGGTGACAGCACCTACCTGTCAGGGTTTTTTAGGCTGTAGGTGAAGTGCTGGCCTGAGTCTCGGTGTTGTGGGGAAGCATTTGAGTTTCCAGGTGTGAAGTATGAGCTTCCAGCAGGGGTACATCCCAACTGGGGCTCTTGACTGAGAACCCAGCTGCTCACCCCCTTGACCCATGGGTGGGTGAGTCAGTGGTCGGGAGCTAGAAATGGGGGAGGGGATTGCTTGGAGGGTGCTGTGGGTGCATGGGACACTTCCGAGGAGTGAGGGGGTTGCCCCTCCTGGAGAACCTCTCAGGAGCCCTGCAGGGTTGGGAGATGCAGAGGCCTGAGATCTGCTTGAGGGATCTGAAGATGAGGGGCCATGTCAGTGTTTGTTAATGTGTCCCTGAGTTGTTAGTGAAGGGGACTGTGACAGTCCCTGGGACAGCCCTACTCACACCTTTGAGGTTATCTGGGACTCTGCTCTGGGTGGCTGCATGGGCTTTGCAGAGGGCTGGATGTGACTGGGTTCCCAGACTAAGTTGCTGGCCATGATGGAGATGCCTGCTGTGGTCTAATGCTGATGTCCCTGAGTTCCTGTGTTGAAACGGAATCCCCAATGTGAGGGTATGAAGAGGTGGGGCCTTTTGGGAAGTGGTTAAGTCATGCGAGTTCTGCCCTTTTGAATGTGCTTAGTGCCCTTACAAGAGGGGCTGGAGGCAGCTGCATACCCCTTCCATGTGAGGGCATGCAGATGGCACCACCTGTGAGGAGCCAGACACTGTATCCACCGGTGCCTTGATCTTGGACTTCCCAGTCCCCGGAGCTGCGAGCAATGCATTCTCATTGTTTATAAATTACCCGGCCTCAGGTATTCTGTTACAGCAGCTGGAACCAAGACACCATTTCCTAAGGAACTGCCTAGGGTGGGGGACAGTCCCCAGTGATGCAGTGATTGGGGGCAGGGGTTTCAGAGAACCCATGGGTCCACCATGTGAGAATGAATTGATTTAGAACCCCAGTCAGTCCCAGGGCCTCTGAGGCAAGCCCCAGTCAGGGAAGAATCTTCGGGTCTGCAGGCTCCACCCCACCCCAGCTCCCTCCCTGGAGAAGAAGCCTAGGTGTTGAAGGAGAGCCCATGGCCAGGCCCCGCCTGGCGCTTGCTGTTCGGCTGAGCGGTATTAGGGGTTCACATCACCTGGTGCCACGCCGAGCTCAGGGGCATTAGTCCTGGGCACCACCTGTGCCGCTGACACTTGTCCCACAGGCACAGGCCCTGCCCTGTGGAACCCCTGGGGGCCATCCCAGCTGGCCGGACATGACACTGGAGCCAGGACTAGAGAAGGACTGAATATACCTCTTCAGGGAAGGGCCATGAGCCCCAAATGAGCCCAAGGAGCAGACCGTGTGGCTGTGAGCAAGGCCTCCCTGGGCTCTGAGGCTGCACCTTGAGAAGGCACACCGTGCTGCCTGGAGTGTCTGGGCAGCTCCTCTGAGGGAGCTCACGCCCTCTGGCCGCACCAGGGCCTGGCACCCAGCAGCTGCTCGGAGGGGTGCAGAGCTGGGCTGAAGGCCCCTTGGAAGATCCAGATACATAAATGTGCTCAGCCCGAGCTCCCAGCCCTGCCTTCTCCACAGGGCTGGCTGTGGGCTGCCTCCTTCCCTCCTGCCCCATAGACTCCGCTGCCAGAGCTGGGAGCACTCAGCTTCACCTGGCCATCCTTCTGATACCTATCCTGTGCTGGGCCACTGGGGGCTGCTGTCAGGAATCGTTTCTGGGAGATGGGTCCAGCATCTGAGGCTATAGCTCTGACTGGATTGACAAGACAGGGAACAACATGTCAGAAAGTGGGAACAGCATGCCGGCGTGGCCAGGAGGCAGGGATGGTCCCTGCTGACCTCTGGACAGGGCTTTTCTAATATTGCCCAAGTGGCTCCAGGGACTGAGGGTGTCAGGTAGGGATAGGGTGAGAAGGTGGGTCTAGCCAGCTCCTGGAACCCCTAAAACTCCTTGGGTTTGGCCCCCAGGGCTCTGCCCAGGCCCTGTGGGAGCCCTGCCCCAACCTCTCCACACTACTTGCCCTCCCCAGGGTCTCAGATGGAAAGGGTGGACTGGGGTGGTGCAGGGCAGATTCTACTTAGCCCCGATGTGCAGGCCCTCCTGCCTCTGCTGGGTCCTTCTGGGGCCTTGCTATGGTCCTGGCTCACCAGGCAGAATCCCTGAGCTGGCTGAGGCACCAGGGCTGCTGGTGGCCCTGTCTCTGCCTGTTCCCCAGATAGGACCCAAGTCCAGGTCAACCGAGTCTGGTGCTGAGTGGGACCCCACCGCTGAGGGGCCTGACATGGCCTGGAGCTGGCCAGGGTAAGTCAGTGTACCCCAGTGCCCCCCACCCAGCCCATCCACCACCCAGCAGGCCCTGACCAGGAAAGGGGGTGTACATTGTATTCTCCAACTTCTTGGCTAGATGACCTTGTCACGTGTCAGGTGGGGTGGCAGATGTTCCCTGGCCCACTGCCTGCTGGCTCAGTTTGTGAGGGGCTGGAAACAGACTGGGTGGGACTGTGGGAAGGGCCTGCTGGTGGGCCGATGGGGTTTTGTTGGCTTTTTCATGCCCCGCTCTGTGCAAGGGGCCCCAGGCACAGGCAAGGCTGTGGGTATCCCTCATCAAAGGTTAACTGAGCAGCCACCATGCACCAGGCTCTGTGAGCAAGACATGGGGTCTCTGGATGGGAAACGGGAAACGGACACCTGGTCCCATGCTGAACCGTGGCTACGGTATTCCCAGAGCTGTGTTGAAAACCTGCCAGGCATCCTGGCCAAAGGTCATTTCAGGCCGGCGGGTCAGAGGCATGGGTGGACATGGATAAGCAGGGTGTACGGGTGTGTTTATAGTGACTAAAGTTTACAGGGGGCTGGGCTTTATAGCAACTAAAGCTTATAGCAGGACTGCCGTGTACACACTGTAACTCCGTGTGTCCAGTGTCCTGCTGACCCGTTCCACAGCCGTCACCAGAAAGCTATCCCCTGGGGCCAGCAGCATCCAGAAAGGGGGTACCTGGGGCTGCAGAGACAAGCTCATAGGCAGAGCAGGGCAAGAGCCCATGGGCAAAATGGCAGTGGCTGCCGGTGGGCTCGGAGCTGGTGCAGGCATCTCACATGGCACCGTGATGTCTGCTGTGGTTGCAGAAGTTCCCAAGCCACCTGATAACAGACTGTGGGTATTGGCCAAAGTGGTACGTCACTGAGCAAGGTCTGGAGCTTGCAGTGGCCCGACCCTCTGAGGCAATGCCGTGTCCTTGCCAAGGATGGACAGACTGACCAGTCACACGACCCCACGGTCCTGAAGGCAGGATGTCCCCAAGGCATGTGCCACCCACACGTCTGGAGGCCCTGGGCCCTGCCAGGGCTGAAGTCCCACGAAAGGTCTCCTGGGCTCATATGGCCACTGTGGGGGGTGGCAGGCCACAGTGTTGGCGTTTGCAAAGTAGTGAGGCGCTCCCCTGCCTCTGCCCGCTGGGCCATCTGAGGCAGGACTGTAGATGGCTTCAGCAGGCTCCATCTCTTCCTCTTCCCTCCGGTCAGCACTTTTCATGTCTTCCCCAAAATAGAAGATCTGCAGATTTAAGCATGTCAGGCAGCTGTGAGAGCCTGGAGCTCCCCACCCCGGTTAGACTGTTCTCCAGCACAGCCACCTTCTCAGTGCGCTGAGAAGAGCCAGCCTTCTGCCCCAGAGGGGTGTTCTGCAAGTCCCTGTGGCTCAGCCCTCAAAGTCCATTGCTATGGATCATTTCCAACCGTCACTCGGACGTGTTAACATGCCAAGCAAGAAGGAGGTGGGGTGTGTGCCCCACTGTCTGGCATAAAAATATGGACTGGGAGTCCCTGTCCCTGGGACATGCATCTTGACTGCCCACAGAGGCAGCCACCAGCTCAGCCTCTTCTCCTCATCCCCATGACTGTGGCTTGATTCCGCCACCACCCCACTGTGGGCTGCCCAGGCTCCCAGGAGGCTGATGACCTGGGTATCTCTGAAGCCTCTTGGCCCTGACCTGGTCCCAAGCAGCCCTCAGGCCCCATCTCTGCGCGAAGACTCACCTTAGAGATTTCCATCTCTCTTTTTCTGTTTGGTTCTCTGGGCTTTCACTTTCATAAGAAGCCAAATAAAGACCTAGACAGAAAATGAAGTGAAATTTCACGTTATTATGGTTGATAATAGCCTGTTCTACACCCAGAGAACACGTTAGAACACCCTGTTCTAACCTGTTCTACACCTGCTTTTTGCTTTAAAATTAGACTTCTTGTTTGGGAATAAGTATACATCCAATGCGGCTGTAAGAAATAACGCAGATTCTGTGGACCCATCACCCACATTCCCCCAGTGGTAACCATGTGCAAAAGTATAGTAGTGTGTGTCACAGCCAGGACACTGATGCCACACAGTTGGGACACAGAGCATTTCCATTCCACCAAGGGCTCGGTCACCAGAGACCCACGTGCTGCCCTCTGATGGCCACACGCACTCACCTCCCACCCAATCTCTTTCCTAAGTCCTGGCAACCACCAATCTGTTCTCCTTTCTTTATCATTTCAAGGATGTTCTATAAATGGGTCATATGGGATGTGATGCGATGGGCCTGCATCCCTGGGCACAACTCTGGGGATGTGTCCACGCTGCAGGGCACACCAATCGCTGACAGCATGTGGTGTGGACAGACCGCAGTTAGTTTAACCACTTTTCCTCTGAAGGACTTCCAGGGTGTGTTTCTAGTTTTTGGCTATAACAAATAGAACTGTAATAAACATTCGTGTATGGGCTTTTGCTTTTATGTGAAACTCACTTCAAATGATGTATAAATATGTGAGTCTTCATTTCTCTAGAATAACTAACTGCCCAAGAATGCAATGGCGGGGTGATATAATAGTGGCATACTTGGAATAAGAAGCTCTTTGTCTAGTCCTATATTCTGAGGATTGTCTCTTGCTTTTCCCTTCTAAAAGTTGTACAGGTTTATATTGTACATTTCAGTCTGTGATCCATGTTGATCTAATTATTTGTATAAGGTGTGAGGCTTGTGCTGAGGTTCATGTTTTGCTCTGTGGATGTCTGGATGCTCCGGCATTGAAGGGCTAGCTTTCCTCCATTGAATTTTTTTTTTTTTTGGTCAAAAATCACCTGGTATATTTGTGTGGGTCTCTTTCTGGGTTCTCCATTCTGTTCCATTGATCCATGCATCCATCCCTCCCCTAATACAGTGCTGCCTTGATGACTGTAGCTATACAATATCACCCTTAACATCAGGTAGACTCATTCCTCCCACTAATCCTTTTCAAGATTGTTTTAACAATTATAGTTCCTTTGCCTTCCATACAAATTTTAGGAGAATCTCATCTCTTAGGATTAAGATAGAATTGCATTAAATCTGTACTTAAATTCTGGGAGGAGAATTAATACCTTTGCTATGCAGTCCTCCTGTTCATAAACATCCATTTATCTACATCGTCCTTGATTTCTTTCATCAGCATTGAGTAATTTTTAGCGTACACATCCTGTGCATGCTTCGTTAGATTACACCCACATATTTCATGTTTGAGGGATTGTAAGTGGTATTATAATTTTAGTTTCAGTGTGCACATGTTTATTGTTCATATGTAGAAACACGGTTGATTTTTGCATGTGTGTCTTGTATTCTGTAACCTTGCTGAAGTCCCTTATTAGTTCTAGGAGTTTTTATAGATTCCTTGGAATATTTTTTTCATTATCATCTGCAATTAGGGACAGTGTTAATTATATTTTCTGATCTGTGTGCTATTTCCTGTTCTTGCCTTACTGCACTAACTAGATCTTCCATCACTGTGTTGACTAAGAGTGGGGAAGAGTGAACATCCTTTCCTGTTATTGGTGTTAGGAGGAAAGCATTAGATCTTCCACTGTTAAATATAAAGTTCGCAGAAGGGTTTCTGTAGGTGCAACTTATCATGCTGATAAATTCCCTTCTATTACAATTTTCTGAGACTTTTCACCATAAATGCGTGTAGAAATTTGTCAAATGCCTTTTCTGCATTGATTAATATAATCATGTGTCTTTTCTTCTTTAGCTGTTTAGTATAGTGAATTACACTGATTGAATTTCAAATATTGAACAGCTTCCCATCCTTGGAATGAACCCACTTAGTCATGAAGTATAATTATTTTTACATACTGCTGAGCTCTATTTGCTTATTTTTTTAAGGGTTCTTGTGTCTATATTCATGAGGAATATTGGTCTATATTTTCTTTTTTTGGAGTACTGTCTTTGATTTTAGTATCAGGGTAATACTGGCGCCATGGTTTGAATATTTGTGCCCCTGAAAAATTCATTTTGAATTTTTCAAAATGATTTTTGAAAAATTGTAATTCCTAACGCAACACTATTAACTAACAGGTGGGGTCTTTAGGAGGCGATTGCATCGTAAGGATTCCACCCTCACAGATGGGATTGGTGCCCTTATAAAAGGGCTGGAAGGAGCCAGTCTGGCCCCTTTTTGCCCACCTGCCATATGAGGACACAGCACCTGCCCCTTCTGCTATGTGAGGGCACAGCAAGAAGGCTCCACCTTGGAAGCAGAGAGCAGCTTCCAGAACTGTAGGAAAGAATTTTTTTTTTAACTCAGTGGTAAGAAAATGTCTGTTGTTTATAAATTACCCAGTCTAAGGTACTTTGTTATGGCAGTTCAAACTGACTAAGACAACTGGCTTCATAAAATGAATCGGGAGGCTCCCTCCTCTTCCACTTTCTGGAAGAGATTGTGCAGAATTGGTGTTAATTCTTTAAGCATTTGGTAGAAATCTCCAGTGTAACCATTTGAGCTTGGAGACTTCATTTTTGGGAGTTTTAAAATGATAAATTCAATTTATTTAACAGTTATGGGACTATTCAAATGATCTCTTTTATGTCAAATTGTGGTAATTTGTGTTTTTTTGAGGAAATAACCCATTTCATTTAAACTGTCAAATTCATGTGTGGAGTTGTTTGTCATATTCCTTATTATCTTTTCCATGTCTGCAGTCATTAGTGATATCCTGTTTTACTCCTGGTACAGTAGTCCCCTATTATCTGTGGGGGATACATTCTAAGTCTTCTGTGGTTGCCTGAAACTGCAGATAGTATGGAACCCTGTATATACTGGCCTTGGATCCCTTTTCCATCTTAACTAAGCACTCATCAGGCGACATGGCCATAACTTTTGCAGTTTGAAATGTAATGGCAAAACTAGCAAGAATTTCTTTCTTCAAAATGTGATGGATAAGTTTGTTCTTACTGTAGATCTTAGCAATCTCAGCATACAATATTTTCCCCCTCAATTTGAGAACTTTCACCTCATCTTTTTTAATTTTTATTTTTAGATTGATTCCTGGGTGGATCACCTCATCATTTAAAGGAAGCACTTTATAGCTTCTCTTTGGCATATCTGAATTGCCTGCATCACTACTCATGTACTTTGGGGCCATTAAGTAAAAGAGGCCGGGCGCGGTGGCTCACGCCCGTAATCCCAGCACTTTGAGAGGCTGAGGCGGGTGCATCACGAGGTCAAGAGATCGAGACCATCCTGGTCAACGTGGTGAAAC